TCAGTTACCAGAATTCCCCAGCCCGTGTGGTATAAGGATATCTGGGAGTTGAAATCCACACAGCTTAAAAGTTGCCAAGGTTGAGGAACACTGCTTTAGAGTATTGCTTGAGGATTATATCATGTAGATCAAGATTGGAGAACTTGCAGCCTACCAGATATTACAGAATTACAACTCCCATCATCTGTCATCATTGGCTATGTTCCTGAGTGCTGTCAGCTGTAGTTTAGCAATTGCTGAACCCAGTGGTGGGATTCAGCCAGTTCGTACCAGTTTGGCAGAACCAGTAGCTATTTTTTTGTTGTCCAGGCCCAGAATGGACTTCCTGAAGCGGCATCTACACAGAGAACCGGTTGTTCACATATTTGAATCCCATATTCTGGCTGAACCCCATATTTCACTGTTTTTACTCTAGGGTGTTGTGATTATGAAGAGAACAATTTCTCAGTGAAATGGTTTTGTCATGCTTTTGCACACAAGGCACATTATATTCAGATATGTTAAATCTGGACACTAGCTATTAAAATACTTACCTGTGTAGCCTGAGAGCAAGATTTAGCAACAGTTTTATTTTAGCTGTTGTGTATTTGCCTACTTTATCAATGCAGAATATTATATGTATGCCCTTCACATAGGTCCACAGCCCAAGGAGTATATACTTACTTTGTGATGACATCTGCATACATTGATTTTGTGCTTTTATAGCATTTTAGTTTTCAGAAAAATAATTCAAGGTGTTAAATTCCACAGAAATAATCCAACAGAGCCTTTAAATCAAATGTTATGAAATAGAAAGCATGGGCTAGAGGTGAGAATGTATAATTCCATTTTTGCTGTTTTACTACCAAATCCCCCTCAACAATTCTTATTCCATAATGGTTAAGGAGAGATTTCTCAACCTTCCATCCAATGAGCATTTTCCAGATGTGTTGAACTTCAGTTCCCATAACATGTAGCTTGTCTAGTCTTCAATAGGTTTGCAGAGTGCAAGGGTGGTGAAAGATGACTCCTGTGATTACAGGCGTGCTCTCTACAAGAATAGTTTCAGTCACAATTTATCACCTTGTTTTAGTGTCCTAGAAGTGAATAGTACAATGACTGCCACTGCTATATATAAAAAAAATACTGTTCTCTGGAAAGGTTACATATTATACAGGAGACAACTTTTAACAAATTGTTAAAATATTTTCACAGTTGTGAACTGGAGATACTTCAGTCCTTTTCAGTTTTATCTGAAACTCCCTTAACTGTTTAGGTCAGTGGTCCTCAACCTTTCTGGCTCTGCGGACCTACAGCGGTAGTGGTGGCAGGGTGGAGAGGGGATGATTTCATGCACGTGCCCACCACTTAGACAAATGGAGCTTCCTGTGCTCACCCACCACTTGTGTTGCCCGGTTACCAATAGGCTGCGGCCTGGTACTGGGCTGCTGACTGGGGGTTGGGGATCCGTTTTAGGTTTACAAATTTAGTTCATTACCGTTAATGGATTCAATCTGTGATCAGCAGTGACTAATAGATCTAATAATATGAATTATATTTACTAAAAATAATAAGGGTTTGGAAATTCTACAAAGTTTTTAATGTATTACAGTTGTGAAATTAAAGACTGCCTTTCTTTCTGAAACATGCTACTGAATTTTTAGCATCTGAAGACAATAAATTAATTTTAAACAAACTATATCCATTAGTATTCAACAAACACAACTAGTATCTTCAGTGGTTTATGATATTCCTAAAAATGTGTATATGCCAGAAGTTTAAGGCTATGTATGTTTGTGTGTGCACGCATGTGTGTATTCAAATAAGGGAACATATTGCCCATGATACTAATTTTGATGTGCACACTATAATTTGATATAGAATGCATCCTCGACCTTACTTATATATGTTAGGTTGTTTTATAAATGTATTTTAACTTTGTCTTAAACTTTATTTTGTTTATCATTTAAGATCTATGGCATGCAAAGAGTTATAAAGGCGGGGCTCATATAGTATATTCACAGAATACTCTGGTTGAGCTGGTCTACAGCCAGAATCAAATGAATTGAACTGAATTGAATTGCCCAATCAAAATCTTGCCCATTTATGTAACAGCTATTCTAAAAAAGAAGAGGATAATACAAATTGGAAAAATAATTCTCCTTACTTGTTTTACAATATATACCTGCTAAGATTCAGGAAAAAAAGGAAAGGAAAGGAAAGGAAAGGAAAGGAAAGGAAAGGAAAGGAAACAGAAAAGAAAAGAAAACACATGTTAATTTCAAGTTAACAAATGTTTTGGGTTATAGTCATATTTTCAAAAAGCAGTCAGTGATTTATGATTTGGAATATTTTCACCAAAGCCCTCGAGGTTCTGAAAATAACACAGCCTACATAAATTGACATGAGCAAGCTTTTTTTAATAAATAAAATCCCATAGAAGCAGAATATATTTAAACTCAAACCAAAATTATAATTATAATTCACATGAGAAAATACTAGGACTTTAGAAAAAGGGTTTTTCCCTGAAGTGGCTGAATGGTCTAATTAAGTACAGAACCCATGATGAAAATCTTCTTTTTTCTTATTTCAGACCCTGACACATGCTAAAAAGGTTATATATTCTTGTACCTCATTCATAATTCTGCTTATCACTTTTAAACAGATAAATGGCTAGATTCTGGAACACCATTTTTGCAAGAAAAAGCCATTCTAATATGAAAAGTGTAATATGATATCTAAGCTATAATATAAATTTTATTTATCACTTTACATTTTCAATTTTTCTCAAGCTACTAGCACCAGTTGAAATCAAAATCTGAAATAGGCAATTTCCTTATTCTCAGTAAGGAAATTAAAAAATGGCGTTTTATTGGAGGCACATTGGATTGCTACTCTGACTTGATCTAGAAGCTCGCATTAAATTCTTAAATATTGTGCTTCCCACTTGTAAATCATTCATGGAAAGCAGAAGTGAGAAACAGCTGGAAATCAATGTCATCAAATCTCCTTTGCAGATATTCTAGAATCCTAATTTACTACTATTTGCCAAGTATTGAATACACATTTCCACATAGAATAAATATCCTGCCAAACCAACTCATCAGAATGGAATCAGTGTTAGCCAATTGTATCTAACAACATGTCACAAGTTGCAAGATTTAAGAACACACTTTCTGTTCAAGCTTTGTACCTTGATTAAATATACAATATATAAACCATGGGGAATCAGGGTGTAGTGAATAACTCTCCTTTTCAGATTTGATAATAAATACAGTTCACATTTGAATTGCTTTAGATACAGTATGCAATCCTATTGGTTTGATTCACCAATGTACACTTCTCCATATCTCCTGGTATGGTTTTGTTCATTGTGTTGGAAGCACATCAGAGGTTTAAATGTATAAGACTCTTACGTTTAATCCCTGGCAGTACCATTCTAGGAGCAGCCAATCAATGGTTATATCCTTCTGGAGGGAACCACAATTGTGTTCAAGGCAGACATTAGCAAGTTCAACCCTCTTTAGAAGCATGGCTGCTGATAGGCTAACTCCCCATGACCTGTAATGGTACTTCCTTGTTATTTCTAACTATTCTCCTTGGAGAATTTTTGAGAGAAGATTTGATGATCCACAGTGGATGAAAAACCTGATTAAGACTATTTGTTTATTCACAGTTTATAGCAAGGACAGGTAACTTACTTCATTCAGACGTTGCTATGCTATCACTCCTAGCATCCCTCACCACTGGCCTTGGGAGACTGGAAGCTCTAATTCAGCAATATCTGAACTACCACTTGTTATCTACCTCTGATTTAATTCACTTTCACTATGGAGAATTTCCCTGAGTCATAGTATTTAGATCATGGTTATCGGTACTTTGCCTGCAATGGTGTAATTTTCAGGCCATTTATACCATTCTAAATCTTCAGCATTAGCAGCATATTTACTTAGGGGGGGGGGGAGACAGAAGGGATAAAGATGCTTTCTACATTTCCATTTTGGCTCAGCTCCCATACTCCCAGCACATCAAAAGCAGGACAGATGCACAATCTGTCTGAACAGGGATACCAGTGGACCTTCCAAAGTCACCAAGCATTTCCAGTGAAGAACAATTTCCTTTCTCAGTCAGAAGTTGATGAATGCTATCTTGTTCCAACTTGCTGCCCTATAAATACTAATCCAAACAGCAGTCCCATAAAATCTGCCCTGTTGCTTTGCAACGGTTTGGCTTGCTTGAGGGCAATCACATGAGGGATCTCACTGCCAGCTTTGCCAAGATCAAAAGAACCTGCTGCTGCCACCTCCACCACCACCACACACACACACAGGGAGTGTTTTACATCTCAGGGCAAATCCAATTTTCTGGTCCTGTGCCAAACTACCGCTAGAGGCAGCAGAGAAAGGCTGTGCAGCTCACATTTGAAATCAGCATACAATATAAATGAAGCATTAAAAAAAAAGCATAAAACTAATTTTGGACAATGTATCCTAAGCACCTTGAAATGTACATATATTATTTAATATAAATGTAAATCATAAATATTCATTCTTCTGGCAGTCTCTTTCAAACCCAGCTAAATGTCAAGAATATTTTAACAACACCCCCACCCCCCACCAGCTAATTATTTTTTTAAAATTGGGGCCTTTTTGCCCCCTTCTGAAAAAACTTATTAAAAAGTTAGATATATGTAATTTGAGCACTGTAAAATAACGCAGTGACCTGTATAATTGTTTTGATTCACAACCACATCAAGATCCAGAAAACTTCCCTCAAAGGGGAAATTACTCTTCTTTGCAGTGAAGCTGATCTACACTTTTACTCCATTGTTATTTTTAAGGTTGAAAAAGCAGTGCTATTGTATCAAACAAGTCAGGAAAAAAGAATCTGGTAAATACGGTCAACATTTTGATGATATAGACATTTTAATATTAAAAGCAAATTGTAAATGTATCTTTATAAACAATATGCATAAAATAGATCTATAATAGTAAAGCTCTGTCTCTTTTTAAATGTTTTTTTTCACAGTAATTTCTTAGGTATGTAATATTTTCCCTCTTAAAGAAATAGTGCAATTTGATGAACGTACTTAGGTAAATGAATTAGAAATCTGATGACCCTTAATACAAATCCTTGTAAATTTCTTGTAGGAGTGGATGAAGGCTCATATCTGTCTCCGTCTTCTTTATAATTTGCAACAGCTGCACATGTTCTGTTACAATCTGTCTGAGGTCTGTCATTTTCTGCAACAATTTTGCAAACAGCTGTGATGATTCTGGGTGATTCAGCTTTAATTGGAGTTCTAGTGATTGCAGCAAACTATCTTGAATATCTTCAATAGGCTTCACATTCAGTAATCCAGGGCGATCTAGAAGCAAATAAAACCATTTGTTTTAAAATGTATGCAGCTACATGACCATCGATATAGCTCAAGGGTAGGCAACCTTGGCTCTTTTATGACTCGTGAACTTCAACTCCCAGAATTCCTGAGCCAGCATGGCTGGCTCAGGAATTCTGGGAGTTGAAGTCCATGAGTCATAAAAGAGCCAAGGTTGCCTATCCCTGGTATAGCTGAATGATAAAGGTGTCTGCAGCAGTTCTAGCACTGCGGAAACTACCTGAGCTGGAATTACCGTAAGTTTTTGACTGCCACAAAAGTCTGCTTTTTAGGGTCAGAGATATTTTCTAGTTTCAGTTCAGTAGTGATTCTCCCTTCACACATAATTTTACCTGTACTTCTTTCCATTGTATTTTTCTTGCCATTTGTTTATGATTTTTATTTGACATGCAGTTGTTGACAACATTCAGCTAGCTCTCCACCAGGTAGACACCAGGTCCACAACTTAATTGTATTCCTGTCTTTGTGTTGCACTTTTGGACAAATGGAGAAACTCTACAATTCTAGAAGCGAAAGGGATGAAAATACAGCCAAATGTTGCTAACAACTGTGCACAATGTTCCTATTTTGACAACATCTGCAAGTGACCATTGCTGCCTCTCTTGATAATATATAATCTCCTAAACTCACTTGGCAATGTGAAACCACATCTTAATGACCAGAATCCACTGGTTTCATGCTGCAAGGTGAAAGTTAATAAGTAAAACAATTGCTAAGTCATTCAAGTAAGTGGACAAGCTGGGTGTCATCTTGTTATGTATGAGGGCATCGGGTACAGGCTCAGATGTCTGGATAAGGTGTACTGTACAGCTTTCACTAATCTAGTGCCCTCCAGCTGTGCTGTAAGACATTTCCATTTGTCCCATTCAGAATGCTCATGGGGACAATGATAATGATGATGCAAGTCACACAACACCAACAAAAGGAGGCTGATCTGTTGTTCTCTAGGATTTACAGCCTGAACAGAGGAGGGAACAGAGCAAATGACACCCTCACATGACAAAGTTCCTCCATCATCAAAGAATAAAGGGAAGAAGACTGAAATCAACAAAGGATGACTTTAGGAGTTGTGCAAGTCTTTGGATACCTAACAGAAAACCCAATGTCATTTCCCTGGTTTGGCCTATAAATACCGGATATTTCATGGTGGCCATTCCTGCAGTTTTTATAGAACAATTCTTATACACGAAAGGGCAACTTCCTTGATCAATTAAGCTTGCAGCTCAAACTCCAGAGGCCCAAATTGACTGCTATTAAGTTATTTAAATAAAGCTGTTGATTACATTGCCAGGTTTAAGTTCCCAGTTTTGTCACTGGAATTTGATTTTATTCAAGGTCATAGAAATTGTATGGTGTTAAGTGAAGGAAGTTAAAACAATAACAGACAAGAAAGCAAGAAATCAGCTCTGTGTCTGTTTAAAGGAGTTCATGTAGGCTGAACTAGTTCTTGTAAGGATTTACAACCTGATTATACAAACCACAAAATGACTTATTTACCCTAGGTGTCAAAAAAAGGCAGCATTCCATATAAACTGGAACTGAATTACTCGATAGTATCTTCATAACTTGGGTTTTTACATTATAATTCACGCTGACTAACTAGACCTAATGTTATAGGAAATGTTATAATCCCCCTAAATATTTACATAACAAGCATATAGAATCATTTTTCTCAAGTGTTTTATTTTTTCTCAGAAATCATAAGGTTATCGCTACCACTACCGAATTCTAAACTCAATCCATAAAAAATAAGCAGTACTAATATTCTACTTTAAAAAAACGAGGAAGGAATAACACTAGAGTGTAAAAAAGGACCCACAGAAAAGCTGTGTCAAAAAGAGTAGGCATACTGGGCTTATATTATTTTAAGAGTTATATCCTATGATGCCTTTCTGCCAGCAAAAGAGATTCTGCAGTTAGAACAGACTTTCCCCTCTCTCTTTCCTCCTTCCAGTTCCAAATTTGCTCAAGAAGCTTGGAAGAGCACAACAGATTTTTTTTTCCAGGGGAAAAAAAAGGAGAAAAGAAATGAGAGACAAACTCTGTTCATGTAATATTGCACAAACAGAAGCCTACTCATGTAACACTCAAGGTCATTTATTCAAAACTTTTAGATCTGTCTGCTATGTATGGAGGATATGTGTGCGTAAACATTTTAGAGATGTGGCAGTTAATATTTTTTTAAAAATGTTACTTGTCTGGTTTTGGGGAGATCACATAGATTTTAATAGTATTCTGATAATCTGCAAATCCTAAAACATCTGGGTATTGTGCATAAACATAACATTTAAGCAAATGTAAAGTCTGCAGCATCTTTTCCTACTGTTTTTTAAAACCTAGAAAATCCCTTGCTTGCTTCACTTTAATGTTGTTAACAATATAGTACTATTCAACTTGTCTAAAAGTAACTTCCTTGCATCCCAAGCAAATACAAAAACAGACTGAATTGTACAGATCCTTTCTACAATAAAAAAAGGATTTTTTTTGCTCAGACATAATTTTTGTTTCCTGAGTTTATCAAGAGATCCAGATATCTTCTTTGATTTGAGGCCCTTCCTTATTTTCTCACTGTTTTGCTTGTTTATCATGATAAAGAAACCCCCCCCAAAACCAGAAAACCTACATAATGCTTTCTCCAAGAATCTTTCCTCTTAAAGTACCCCCAAATCAAGGCCAAGCTTATGATGCTGAAGCATTTTTTTTTAAATTATGAAGCCTAATTGGAATTTGAATAGTTGGACACTTCAACGCATTTAAAGATAAATTCCAGATAGACTTTAGGACAAAGTCCTAACATAGGGTGGCACGCATGCTGTGTCCCCAAATAGTCATGGATTCTCCTTTTAGGAAACGTTAAACAGAAAAGATAAAAATGAACTTCTATAGTTCTTTTAGTTTAAAATTAAACTGCAGTTTAGTTAACTACAGATAAACTTTAAGAATACTGTTACTGTAATATCAATAATATCAAAGTTATTTTTGAAAGACTGATAATTACGTAAAATATAAAGCTGAAACAATGTTCCCAAAGTAGATGACCATATTTAGAGATAGGCTTTTATCCAATGTGGAAGTCTCTTTTATTCTTCAACATTCTCAAAGAGAACCATACTTTCTGTTAATCATTCACTTACAAAATGTTCATAACAATTATTTTATGTTCTATGTACACTTGCAAAATTCCTATGTATTCTTATCTCTTAAGAGCAATTGCTACTGAAGCTCATTTAGAACAAGAATAAGCATTTGGCTGGGAACTCTTATCATAATGTCAGTGTGACTCAGCAGTTGCGTGCCTGATTTTAATGAGTACAGAATAAATCAGGCTTTAAATCCAAAGAAACTAGCACTGGCTGCACATATCTTACAAGTTATATAAAAAAGATTCTTAATAGGTGGAGTATCCCTCAAAATTGTTGACTGGTTTGTCCTTTTTAATGAGAGTTTGTCTTTTACAGTCTGTAAGCAGCAATTCCTATACTGATAAAACAGTTCAAGCCCTGAAAAAATGTATTTTCAACTAGACTGGATCCAAGAGAAGTATTTAGCAGATGGCTTTTTTCTACAGGAGACTGTTAATGTAGTATGGGAATCCTCCCGTGGAAAGGGAGAAGCAATCTCTTCTGATCCCCTCTCTCCTACTGTAAACTATTCCACTTTTCCTTGAAATTCCCAGAGCAACAGGGAAAGTGGTGATGAAGCTTCAGTGAAATGAAACTGGCAAGGATTATCTCATTCCTCTTGTCTCACAGGAAAGACCATTTTGGCCAGAATTCTGGTAGCAGAATTAAAACTGGATCAAACTATGAAGGAAACTACGACTTAATGCTCATCTTCAAAATCGTGTACATTTGTCAATAGTTTCAATTATTCAAACCCCAGTGGATTTATTACTTGATAACCTTTAATCTGTACAACTTCAGGCATAATTATTGGGAATATGTAATATCTTGAATGTACTTTCTGTTGGATTACGCCTGAAGAAGATTTAAAAGACTGGTAAAAACAGCAGATTGTATTGCCCATTTTGTGGGAGCTTTATTTTGGGGTATTCTATAGGCAAATACATATTAAATCCTTCTAAAAATTTAATTTACAATTGATCTGATTATACATTTGTTGCCAAGTTCACTGAAGATGCTATTTTAAGTATTAAATAGTTATACAAAAACACCGAAGAAACAAAATAGGAAGAGTATTGATGCTTTTGGTGTTGGAGAAGACTCCAGTTTGGTCCAGTGGTTAAGGCACCCAGCTAGAAAGCAGGAGAATGTGAGTTCTAGTCCCACCTTAGGCATGAAAGGCAGCTGGGTGACATTGGGCCAGTTACTCCCAATCCACTCTACAGGTTTGTTATTGTGAGAAAATAAGAGGAAGAAAGAGAATTAGGTGTGTTCATCATCTTGAGTTATTTATAAAAATGATAAGTGTGGGATAAAATCCAAAATCTAAAAAAAAACAAACCCTTCCTGAGAACACTGTGGACATCCAAGAAAACAAACCATTGAACAAATCAATCCAGAGTTCCCACTTAAGACACAAATGACTAGACTCAAATTACTCTACTCTGGAGACATGCAAAGACCTAGCTCTCTGGAGATGGCTTTAATATTGGGAAAGGTAGAAGGAAAGAAAAGAGGACGTTGAATAGCAAAGTGGATAGATTCAGTTACAGAGATGATAGGGGTTGCTGCTGGAAGAGCTAAGAGTTGACATCAACTTGATGGCATGTAATCAATCAATTACGGAAAATTTTTCTCATGCAAGAATCTCACAGGCACTAAATGAGGCCTTGCTAGAAATGTCTACTAGTTAATTCAGTCCAGTTTGCAAAAACCACTTGGTAAATTTTACCACAAGTTACAGCTGCACCAAAACTTCACAGGGATCAATAAAAGCTTGGAATATCTCTAACAAGGATTGGACTTTGCACATCCAGGCTAAGTTAGAGTCCTAGTAGATCCCATTCTAGAGTTTCCAGGTGGATAGAAGAATGGGAAAGGATGCGAATTTATACCTTAGCCCTACTTGCATTGAAAATACCGGTATATGGATTTAAGCACACCTAATGAAGAAATTAATTTTCACGGATTTCTTTTCAGCAGAACTCAATGTGTATAATATTGGCTTATGGATTTGAATTTTCTCTTGTTTTTTAATTGTAAACATACCCCCACCCACACAGAGTCAATTTTTGGATACAAAATTGTACTATATCAATCAAGTTCAACCAGAAGTGTTTTGCCATCATGTTCAGAAATGCAGCTATTTCCTCTTATCTAGGGCAACTTTTAAAACTGTTTTAACTATCTATCTACCTATTAGCAATATTAAAAGAAGGATAGGTTGCAATTAGTAACAATTGTCTTTTGTTACAATAAGGATAAAGTTTCTTAATTCATAAACTAATATTTCTGATTTGCTTTTAATAATAGTTCGAATTATCTTTAAAGGTATTAGTAATATACCTTTGAAAATTCTTATTCAATTTTTTACAACCTAGAAATCTTTATATCCTTGTTTCCCTCCCTTGCATTTCTAAATATCTGTTAAAATAAAATAAAAAAGGTTAAAAAGTATTCATATTTGAAACATCCATACTTGAAATGTATATAGATTTCTTTTTTCCTTACGTGTCCAGTGTTTTGAGGAAAGCAAGCAGGAGGACATTTTCTAATATTTATTATCAAAAAGTACCACCCAACTCAAAGGAATTTCTTGAGATAGAAGGTGATTTTCCCCCCTGACAATCTTGCATTCCAAGACACTGTACTTCTCATTGTACTTTTGTTGAATTGTATTATTTAGAGTAGATTCTTGAATTTGTCATATCAAGGTGAAGACAGAGCCATTCAGGAATCCACTTATCCCAACATCTTTCTCAAGAATCCTTACAGTGTATATTCTTGCTAAATGAGATTTTAGTTTAACTAACAACATGCTTTAATGCTGCAGTACCAAGTGAAAAGTGCCAAATAGTAATTAAGCTCCTTTAATCCCAACACTTGTTGAATCATGCAATTCTCAAATGTGGTTGAGAGAAAGAAGCAGTCAGAGAATTGAAATTATGTAAGAGTGGTGGTGGTGGTGTCTGGTTCTGTATAAGGAAAACATAGCAATGCCTATGGTGACAAACAGCAGCAACTCAACTCAGTAGGGTTACACTGGGGATGTAAAGAATAACAAAGAAACACATAGGTCCACCTGGCACTTGTTTGTTTATAGGTGGCCCCATGTTCAGTCTCAAGACGTCTGCTGCAGACTCTGACAAACAACTATTAAACAGAACCAATAATATTGGGTTCCATGGTTTGTTCTGGTATAAGATAGTTTTCCTGGCCTTAGTTTTGTGATTGAACTGCCAGGGCTGCCCAGAGACAGCAATCTGAAGGCAATCAGGAGACAAGGGACAAATCAGTTTGCTGGGACCAAAGAACAAGAACTGAAGGACAAGCAGAGGTTCAGATTGAAGGGCAATCAATGGGTATAGAAAGAAACCAGGGCTCCAAAAGATCTGATTGGTCAAGCAAGGATTACTTCACAACGATTCTTGTATCTTTCTTCCCAAGGGGATCCAATCCAATGACCAGCATGAGTAGAGTTAGTCCAGAGTCTAAAATGAATCAACTGGCTAATATGTAGTCACTGGATATGGAGCAGCTGCACACAGATCCAAAAATTGAGACCGTGAGAACTCCTAGGACTCCTGATACATACTTTTTGGAGGATATTTAAACTCTTTCATGAAGGGCAATTATTCATTTCATTTATCTTCCAAACTGCATATAATAGGATGAGAAAAATTCCCTCAAGAATGTTTGTCCTATCAGGATCATTGCACATATGTACCGGTAAATTAGGCCTCAGGAGACAAGAGCCTATCCATAATACAGTAGTACAGTTTTCAAATCAGGACCACCCAATTTATGAAAGCAGTTCAGGAGGCATTTCTAATTATGCCAGGGATTCAGTCAAATTCTCTATTTTAATGTTCTGAGCAGAAAAGGTACAGTAGACCGAAAACCAAAGTACAAGGCTGGTGTGCTAAGTATGGGATGTTTGGGGGGCTCAGAAGTCATGCACCCTGGCTAAATTCTTTGCAAATCAAGGAGAACTATGAAACTTTTTCACACTTACCTCCACTGAGAATAATGACAGCTATAAATATTGCCAAGTCGCTGTCGTCTAATTCCAGTGCATTGAATTTGACAGCAAATTCAAATTTTGGCTCCATAAAGTCACAGAAAGGTTTCC